TTATTTTTCTATCTACAAGCAAATAAAACATAGAGGCTGTGGTTTTTGTTTACTATTTGGTAGTAGCAGAGGTTGAGGACAGGTCCCAGTACCTTTTAGAAAGAGAGAGATCACTATGAGCATCGCCTGGCCATCTGCTAGACCTCCTCAGGGCTTCCAGGTCAGACAGAGGTCCTAGAGTGGGTTAGGGGCAGAACTGGTGGTTAGCTCAAGGGGTGTGACTGGATTGAGAAAAGAGGCTTTCCTCATACCCAAGGATCTATTGGAGTTTATTGCCTTTCAGAATGCATGAACCTAGGTCAGCTTCCAGGCTCTCTGGGGCTCCCAGCCTTGCATATAGGCCCTGGAAAGAAAGGAATGAGGACAGAACATCTGGCTGGCTGAGGGAGGGGGGCGGTGGGTTGGGAGGCTTCTGCTGCCCCTGGCTCTGTTGGAGCCACCCCTGTCTTCAGGATATGGGAGCTTCCTCCACAAATGTCCAGCCTAAATCTGACTTGCCCAGGAGTTATACACCTGAAATCCAGGCCCAGGATCTGAAGGAATGGGGACCCAGCAGAAGGCTAGCTGAAGGAAATGGGTGGCTTTGGAGGCTACCTTGCCCCGAGGCTCTGTTAGTGTCATCACCAAGGAACATCATGTAAGCCAAGCAGTGCCCCCTAAGAGTGTCTAGGCCTATGTCAGATCTGTCAAGACTTGTTTCTGGATCTCTTAAAATAGCTTATTTTTCTTCTTTTAGAAGGATGTTAGCATATTTTGCTTTTCTTTCTTCAAATCACCCTATTTGAATTTTCTAAATGGGATTTAAAGAGAGACAGAGAGAGAGAGAGAGACAGACCACAGATTGAGGGTGTGGAGGCTATATATTTCAGTGACCAGGAGAAAAAAAGGCCTATGAATTTTTTTAAGTTAATGTAAAAGCTGAACATTTGATAATTCTATAAAGGAAAATTGGTGAAATACTTCCAGGAACATCCTGGTTAGCATAAATGCTTGCTTCTGTTAGAAGGCAGAAAAAGGAATTTCCATGTAAAGATGGCAGAAGGATGCCAGATCACAAAATTCCCTTCCATCAGTATCTAATGAAATTAGTTTAAAGAAAGTTGTAAGAGCAATCAAAACCACAATGAGATACCACCTCACACCAGTCAGAATGGCTAAAAGTAATAACTCAGGAAATAACAGATGTTGGTGAGGATGTGGAGAAAGGGGAACCCTCTTACACTGTTGGTGGGAATGCAAACTGGTGCAGCCACTCCAGAAAACAGTATGGAGTTTCCTCAAAAAGTTAAAAATAGAGCTACCCTATCACCCAGCAATTTCATTCCTAGGTATTTACCTGAAGGATACAAATGTAGTGACTCAAAGGGGCACCTGCACACCAATGTTTATAGCAACAATGTCCGCAATAGCCAAACTATGGAAAGGGCCCAGATGTCAATCAACAGATGAATGGATAAAGAAGATGTGGTATATTTACGTGGAAAACCCAAAAACTCCACTCCAAAACTGCTAGAACTCATACAGGAATTCAGTAAAGTGGCAGGATATAAAATCAATGCACAGAAATCAGTGGCATTCCTATACACCAACAACA